TTAACCCGTTTTATTTCTGCTAAGTCATTCAATAATTTTTGTGGTGAATTCAGAGTTGGTGAGTTATGACCATTAAATAAAATAATATGAATTACCAAAAAATATACGAATCTAAAATGTTCCATCTCGCAATTGCGGTGATGTTAGGAGTTGGTTTAGCCTGAGGGTATGATAAATGAATCGCCAAAAAAGGATAAACCATGGCTAAAACTATCCAAGAAACTATGTCAAACTTAGGTCAGGCCTACGATTTAGTAATTACTGATTTAGTTAGAAAATTAAAAAAGATGAAAGAAGGAGTAATTAAACTAGGAGACTTACATAAAAAGCAACGGATTATTAAAAGAAGTGCCTTAACTGGCAAAGCTTATGCTTATTATCAAGTTAGTTTCAAAATTTCCGACCCTCTCAAAAAAGTATTAGATAAATAGTGATGGACAAAAGAATAATCTTATTAGGAATAGCCGTCCTTTGTGTTGGTTTATACTTTTATGGTCAGCAGACCAAAGATAACAATTATTTAAAACATTTACCCACTATCGGTGGTTTAGTCTTTGGCTTAAACACCTTAATCAATTTAGCCCACTAATTATGAATAACCCCCACAATCAGCACTGAAATACTCAGCCAAATAATCAGAATAATCAACCGAATGGTTTTCAACAAGCCAATCAATCGCAAACTAATTTTCAAGGACAACCTAATGCCCAAACTCAGCAACCGCCTTCAATCATCATGAAATTAATGACTTCTTGTTTACCAGTCTTACTAGAACAGTTTACTGGTCAAGCGATGCCTTCGATGGGTGGCAATCAGCAGGTTGAATTAGTTCTATCCCAAGTGATTAGTTTACAACAGCAAATTATAACTGGTCAACAAAAAATAGATCAAAGACTAACCCAGTTAGAGACTAGTGCTTCCCAGCAATTCACCGGTTTAGCCCAAGAAGTTAAAAGCATTAAGTCTATCCGTTTAACTCATGACCGCGAAAGAAAACAAATTGAATTTAATGGTACGCAGCAAGAAAATTAATCATGTCCTTCTTCCCCGATATCACTCCTTTAACTAAAGAAGTCCAACAATTCAATCAGCATCAGCAGAAAGTCATCGCCCTGTTACAGGAACAAAATCAATTATTAAAACAACTATTACAAAAATAATATGGCTAAAGAAATCAATTTAGAAGAATACGAAAAACTTAATACTGGTAAGAAAAGCAATGTCATTTACCGTGACCAATTAGAATATGTTGGGAACAAGATATTTTGAGCGGCTGCTCTTGGTTTAGGAGCTATCACCATTTATGCTTCCCTCGCTTACTTAGTATTTAAACAATTAAAAAAAGACTAAATATAAAATTAAAAAAAAATGACAAGACCTAATAATCACGAAGAAAATCAAAAACCAAACACTTTAATGGCCTGAGCCACTGGTTATGCAGTAATTTATGCGATTGGTATAGCCGCTGGTGTCTTTATCTGAAAAAGTGGAATGTTACAAACTGTAAGTAGCAAAATATTCAGCAAAAAAGAGAGTGTATAACCTTTGCTCTCTTCCAGCCCCCTTTAAGCCCTTATGAATAACCTCAATAATTCCAACCAGCTCAAAGACCTAGTCATCAGCACCTTCCAAGAAATCTTAGCCGAAGACCCTAATTTTTTCTTTACTGACCGGTTAACTATCTTAACCTGAAAAAGTAAGAAAATTGAAGGAGCCTTAATCACTAAGGTAGGTAATCGCCGTTATCTCGGTTATCTACGAAAAGATATCAAGGGTCAAGAGTATTGAAAATATAAGTCTTTAAACCCGGAGCAATCCGGAGAGGAAAGTTCAGAAATTCCGCCTAACTCAGTTGATAATATCGCTAAGTTTCAGCAACGACAAGAAAAAACCCAAGCAATTAATCATGGTAAATCAAACCATCCTGAATCATCAGTTAACCACTCCTCAACTAGTTAATACGATCCAAAATTTAAGCACTAGTTTACAAGCCATTCAGCCGGATAACTCCGAAACCACTAAAATTATCACTTATGCCCTAGTTGGCACGGTGGTAGCTGGTTTGATAGTTTATCATTATATCAGACAGCAAGAAACCCAATAAATTATGGTAAATTGAAGCAAACTACTCCCAGACTTCAAAGGAGCCCTAACTGGCTTTTATGAAGAAAATATTAAAGCCACGGTGGAAACCAAAACTAATGAGTTTAAGCAGTTAATTCAGCAGAATGCTGCCATTGGTCAGAATACCCAAAAAGCCTTAATTGCGATTGCCTTGGGAATTTTCTTATTACTAGCCATTGCTTACTTCTGACTAGGAAAAAGTAAATACTTAGCCTTGGGAATTTTAACTGGTTGTTTATTGTCTTACCTTTATGAACTATCGCAGCCCTCCTACCGCCCTCTACTAGATCTAGACTAGATCTAAAATAACTAAACTATGTCTAAAAAATATCTCATCTGATTCTCGATCTGCTTTATTGGTGGTCTTTATATTCGGCATTGAGCCAATACTGGCCAAGGACAATTTAGAAGACTAAACGAGATTTTTAAATAAAAAAAATATGTCCGCCCCTACTCTTATTATCTGTTCGGCTTTGGCAGTTTTTTGTGGCTTTTTAGCCCATCAAACTGTGGAAACCCTCCTCAATACCTGTTTAACCTTTTTGCCCTTAAATATTCGCACTGTCAAATAATACTTATTCAGCCCTGGTTTTAGCCTCGTAGAGAACTAAAAGAAAAAGAAAATATGAAACCAATTAAAACTAAAAAACAAGTAATTGTGGCACCCACCACCCAAAAAACTATGGTAAAAACCAAACCAGTCAAAACGTTGACTAAATCCCGCCCTATCCGCTCTAAATCTAATACTCTAGCTTACTACAATTGCCTGATTGACCAAGTGGCTAATCCGGTGAATGATAAAGTGAAAATTACCAAGTTAGCCCATCATTGCAAATGTAAAAAAGGAGAAGTCGCAGTCGCTCGTCAGGAACATAAAGCCCAGTTAGTCCAAAAATTAGCCCAAAGTTATAAAAATTTCGGAGAAAGTTTGGGGCATTACCTACATGCTGATATTGTGGGCTGTGCTAAGGAATTAAAGAAATAAAAATATGGATAAACTAAAAATTATTTGAACTGTTGGTGCACTAACTATGACCGGAATATTTGTTTATTCTTTCTTCCATGAACACCGTGGTATTTATTGTCAAATTTGCTGCTCGAATGGATTTGCTTTGAGTACTGGTTTAGTTCTAGCTCGCACCTACTTTTTATATCAAAACTAAATAAAATTATGCAAAAAGAACCTCTTATCTTACTAACTGGAATCGGAATAGTTGGCTATGTAGTTTTTCATGGTCATCGAGTAAATCAAGACTGTTGATTATGTCCTTATCGCGGACTAGTTTTTGCAGGCAGTAGTATCGCCTTAGGAGCCTTTTTAGCTTTTAACGAAAACTAATGGATTGCACTACTCAAACTCAACAATGGTTTTACTTATGTTTAACCCTGTGTGGAGTAATCGTTTCCATGTTAGCCATGTTTTTTAACTATTCCTTAAAACTGGGCTGACGCACTGCTAAACTAGAAAAAAAGAATGGTAAAGAACAGCATCAAATCGATGAATTAAAAAAAGAAATCCAAAAACTAAAAAATGCTTAAATGTCTCTTCTGTCAAAAAAGAAAACCATTCCCCGGCTCGAATATCTGTCTCGTTTGTTCCTTCACCCAATTACCTTGGTATTAAATAATCATGACTAAAAAAACCGACTTACAAAAAGAACTCCTCGCCGAAGTAAAAGAGGGAGTTAAACCCTCCGACTTAAAAAGAAAGTTAAAAAGAAGTAAGTCTGCGGATGATATCGCTAATATCCCTACTCCTCCACCACTTCCTGATCATCTACTCCACGACCAACTAAAAGAAAAACAAACCGAGATTGAAAGTTTAAGAACTAAGTTAGCCACTGCTAATCAAGTCCTAAAAGAAACTAAACAGCAATTAGATGACTCTTTAGAAGCTCGCACTAACTCTTTATCTGACTGAACTAAACAGCACGAGCAAATCAAGTCCTTAAATCAAGAGTTAGATGCCACCATTGACCAAGCCAGTAGTGAACTAAAACAAGGAGATACTGAAATCAGTCAATTACGCACCAAAGTCTGAACCCTCAAATCCGCTAAAGAAAGTTTAGAACGAGAACTTAAATTAGCCCGGATTAACCGCACCAACTCACCATTCACCTCTAATAATTATGAAACTAAACTGGACTACTTCCAATATGGTCTTTATGCTCTAGGTGTAGTCTGATTTATCTTAGTCTTAAACAATTCCTGAAAAAAAGAAACTAATAAACATGATTAAAAACACTCTAATAATTGCCTTAATAGTAGTTATCATCTATCTCTATTATCAGCAAAGGAAAA